TCACATTGCTGACACTGACCTGCCTATATCAAGGCCAGAATATTCAAACCACAGAGTCTAAAACAGGGGTGGGCAAAATGTGGCCCCCCGGGCCCCCCAAAGATTAAGAAAATTAATATTTATCTGCCCCTGGCTGCCTGTCAAGCGGCCCTCGACGGATTGCCAAAACTCAGCAAGTGGCCCTCCACCTGGTTTCAAAACACATAAACAAACAGCCAAACTTTTCAATAGTATTAAGTTCATCAGAATTTTTGCATGGTCAAAGCTTTTAGAAAATCTGGCTGCTCTAATAAATTCCTGAATAAGGATAATGTAATTTGTTTCAGGAATCCGGATTGGAAAAAACTTGGTTTAGGTATTTTCCTGAGCATACTTTAAAGAACAAATCTTGTAGTCCTTACTTATGAAAAGTGCACATAGTTGAACACTGCAGGATCTTGTGCTTGCTATAAAATTGTTCTTTTTGATCCAAAGAGTTTTAAAATGCAAGTTACGCCAATCAATATATGCCACCATTAGTAGAGTTAACATTTTTAATGAAAGCTGGGAGGACTTATGAAAGTTGACAAAGAAGAATATTAGTTTCTTTTTTGCACAAACACCCTAGCAAAGTGAGACAGTAGCCAGACAGGTTGAATTTTATAATGTAAATACTAAAATGCATGCTTATTACCACAACACACCATTATTCACATGAATAGGTAAGTGCCCTGTGGAATGGAAAAACAAATTAGATTATTAGTGTCAATAATAATAATAGCAACAATAACAACAACATCTAATCACAAGGTTGCCTTGTTATTTTACCCATTCAGCTTCCACTTCATAGTATGTGCATTAGCATGCAACTGTAGACAACCTGTCTTTGTTCATTTTCATGGTTGACAGGTAACATATTTGTCAAACTCACCTGAATAATCAACTCCTTCTGTGGTAAAAATAGAGCTATACTGTTCATTTGCCTACTAAAATCATGTGTGCAATACTTCCACTGCGTGTTTCAGTTTTTTTTCAGTCACACTGCTAGTGAAAGACCAGCTGCTGGCAAACACCAACAATGTAATAATTAAGCAGCAATAATGACAACTGTCACTCTCCATCAGACACTGTGCATGTGTTCATCTTTATGCACATGGATATTTACATGGATCAAGACCTCAATAGATACAAATAGGGAAGATGAGATGGACTAAATGGCTCAAAGGGAAGGAACATGGAATATTTTTTCAGAATGAAAGCGTTTTTATGGTTGGTTGGTTTACTTCTTGTGATAACCCTGCAAGAAGTAAACTTTCTTACAGAAAAACATTTGAATGAAGGAGGGCAGTGTGAAAAGAAACTAGTGTGACTGAGCATATGGTACCTAGCAGAAGTGATAGAAAGAGACACCCTGTACCTGCAAAAGAAGGTGGAACTACTTATTCAGAGCCTCCTACAGAGATGCCAAATACATGGGGATCCCGAGAGCCCTGGCCACCCTTGGGAAGAGGGCTGTCACCCGAAATGAGTAAAACTTTCCATGTGTCCATCATCTCCTCCCCTCCCCACCCCAGCAAAAACAGAAGTCAGCACCTCAGGCCTCAAATCCACATGGTACTTTTTACAGGCAAACAGAACTGCAGGTCTAAAACAGTCCGCAATCAATCCGCAAATGTTATCATACAATAACATCTATGACTCCCTATTCCTCACCAAGTAATCAATAGCAGAGTGCTCTAGTACTTTTACAAGTGTGCTACTTTACTAGTTACTACTGTTATAGCTAAATTTAAGCTACAAACCAAAATGAGAAAAGCAGTTGCACTTAACTGAACATGAACTATCCTTATTTCTCTCCTTTAACTCCCTCCTCAAATTACCGTTCATTTAATAATGCAAATCCACAACGTGCAATAAGTCACAGTCAGCCATTAGCATAAATAAGTTTCTATTTAAGGTACTTTCCTTCCACACATACTCATGCTACAGGGACAGTTCCTTCAGACCACGTCAACACAGAAAGGGAAAAATGTTCTTCTAAAAAAAAAGTGCTTTTCCAAAGATCAAGGACCAAACAGATCCCCTGAATGCATATTTCCATGCTAAATTGATTCAGTTTTGCTACTCATTAAATATAAATGCAAAGATTTTAAACAAAGACATTTTCTGCAGCTAATTCTTCAATATTTACAATATAAATGAAACTAAAGAACAATATTTTTCTTGCCATACAGCCAAGGAGTAGTGTGTATATATAAAGGAGAGAATAATCCCCCTTTGTAACATGATCCTTCTAAAATGCAACCAGTTACATTACCTTCAGACATATCTGGAAGAGACTGGGAACCGTTGCTCTGGGAAGTCAATGCCCGCACCAGAACAGAAGTGGTCTTCTTTACTATGCATAATCTGCCAACACAGAATAGTAAAGTATCAATTCAGATTATTGCAGAGAAAAATAAATAAGAATTCCAGAAAAGTTCACATTATTTTTCTTCAAAAGCCATAAAAATACTTCAACACAGAGTCAGCTGAAATGTAAAATGACATTGGAATCTGTTTGAATCACCATGTAGCAAAAACCAAATTACTTAAAAACTGTCATGGCACCTTGCATTTACTATGCATTGAATTAAATGGATGGAAGACAATGGGGAAGTATCATGGCTGGATAGTTGCCATTTAAGCCAGTAAAGTAAACAAGGATCTAGCACTAAGTAGTCTTCTCCAGTAAATCAGTATCAAAGTTGTTGTAAATCTTTCAAATCCTGGTCTGGAGTTCCATGCTTTGATCACAAAGCAACAGAATGTTTTTTAGTAAATTGATACATGGTTATTTATTTGTACAGATGGAATTAGCTATGTTAGTCTGAGTTAAGTAAAAGACAAGGGTGCCACCCTGCCCTGCCTTCTCTTACTTATTTGTGTTTGAAGGCATCCCAGCAATCCTGATCTTCCAGCCATCTGCGCACAGGAAGTACCACACACTTATGTAGCATGTAGCATCTCATCCCATTCTCATAAATAAATTAAGAGGCTGACATAATGTTTACACGGTCCGGTCGGTGGCAAATTGGCTTAGTAGTCGCACCCAGAGAGTGGTAGTAGATGGGTCAGTATCAACATGGAAGGATGTGGGTAGTGGGGTCCCTCAGGATTTGGTCCTTGGGCCTGTACTCTTCAATATCTTCATCAGTGACTTGGATGTGGGTGTGAAGTGTACTCTGTCCAAGTTTGCAGGCAATACTAAATTGTTTTCAAATGCAAGTCCTTCTTCATCAGGTCTAAAGGAAGAAGCAGGAACAGCTGTTAAGCTGACACCTTCATCAGACCTGAAGAAGGCGGCCTTGGCTTCACAAGTTTGTCTAACTTCAGCCCTGACATGTCGTTGGTTCAGTAAAAGACACTGCCCACAAAAATCCTTGTCTTCACCTTAATAATTCAGTTTTGTGCTTTGTCCAGGATCAGAAAATAAAGTTAAATACTAAAAATGAAAGGATCCAACTATACAATTTTCATGACCTGAACTGAGTGAAATTCAAAAAATGTAAATACCAGTGTTAATGGTGAACAAAACACATTTTTTTCTAATTGTAATCATTTAATGTAGGACAGGGTTTAAAACAAATGCCTCATACCCAATGGGGTTAGTTAACCCAGTGCAAAGTGGTGCAAACCAGTATTCAAGATCAGGCCTGTGGATTTATTACCTATCATCTCTCACACGACAAGAGCTAGGAGTCATAAAATGAAACTAGTCAGATGAAAACTGAGAAAAAGAGCTGCCTTCTCCTGAAGTGGCAAACCCATTGCCCCCCAGAAGTGGCGATGACAACTTAGCCAAATTCAAACAGGGGCTGGACAAATCCTTGGAGGAAACATGTAGCTCTCAAGCATGGGGGTTAGCGGCATCACCTCTGAACCAGATCTTCCTGGACCTTAAATGCTGGAGGTTGCAAGTGTGGCAGGAAGGTGGGGAGGAAGGGGAAACCCTGGCCAGACCCAGCTCACTCTCCCTTTCAGCCTCCACTCCCTTCCGCGATGGGACCACCGGCCTGTCTGTCATGCCACAGGACCCAGGCAGCTTACACCCACTGGGACAACTTCCAGACTCCCTTAGGAAGGGAGACTGCCCTTCAATTCAAAGCTGGGCAGAAACCATCTCTGGAGGGTTATTACCCACCTCCCTCCCCCGGCTCTTCCTCAGCCCATCCTTTTATGGCGCCTGCGTTACTTGGCACGCGTCTGGACAGGGGGCGCCCGCGATCTGCGCCACACACGACTGCGCGCCTGCATGGCCCCTCTGCCCGTGCCCTGTGTGCGGCCCACCGCTTATGGCGCCACGAACCACTTAATAAATGTAACGGGGGATGGGGCAGGGTGGAGCTGGGTCTGGCCCGTCCCGTGGGAGCGCAGCACCCCCGGGAGGAACCCGATGCACGCCCGACCCGGCCCCCGCCCTGCAGCACGCACCTGAGGGCCAGCATCCTTCCGCCCCGCGCGGCACTGCACTGCCCCAGGCCTGACTCGCGCTGCCTCGCGGGCGGCGCCCGGTGACCACGCCCGTGTCAGGCACTCAGTCTTCCAGCACCATAAACTCCCGGCTCCGCCAGCCCAGAGCGCCGCCCGGCCGCTCTGTGCTCCCCCTCTCTGGTTCCAACCATGTGGTAGCTTCCGTCAGATTCTGTCACTGCCCACCCCCCAGCCTAGTGACTGTGGTTCATTCCACATCGCACCGGCCCGGGATTGCAGTTCCTTCCAACTCGCCCCGTGCGTATTCTCCTCCCCCTTGTCCCAGCCCTGTGGTTGCTTCCATCTGATTCCATCCCCCTCCCACAGTGGCTGTGGTTCCTTCCACCTGTGTGCGCCCATCAGCCACGTGCCCCAGTCCCCAGGGTGTGCAAGGACATCACCTGTCCAGGGCAGCCCTGGCAGGACGTGGCCAGGCGCAGGCGCCCACAGGGGCAGCAACTCCAGGTCCCAGTCCAGTTCAGGGAGACAGGACACCAGGCTTCAGGGACCTGGAGGCTACCCCCAAAGCTGCAGCCCAGTGCCCATAACTGAAAGAAGCCTCAGCGTGCCTTGCTCATCACTCGCCTGGCCTCCCTTTCATTTCTTCTTGGTCTGACTGGGCCAGACACAGCTCCATCCTTCCCTGTTCCCCCTGGCCTATGTTATGTTTATTGCACAGTCCATTTATTGCATAGCACCATAAGCAATGGGCTGGGCACAGGAAGATGGGCCACGCAGGTGCTCAGTTGTGTATCACGTGGTACACAGGTGCACCTGTGCAGACCCAACCCCCTCTCCCCCCCGCCAAGTAACGCTGGCGCCAGGCTCCCACCCACCCTATATAGGAGACAAAGATCTTCCAAAGGTCTACAGGCTGTTTTCTGAAATGTCCAGATGCCTGAGGCTGAAGGTGGGCCCTTATTCCCAGCTCCTTGCTCCCAGTTCCTTTTTCAAAGCTAGTCTTTACACAACTAGAAGTTGTTAGCAATGAATTTGATATATTAAAAGAGTTAGAATTTCATCAAAAGCATATGTTTACTAATAAAAAGGGAAAATAATATCACACATAAGGTACATAGCCCTGAATAAGGAGCTGAGGTTAGACTGAGGTGATGGGGCAAAATCCTTTTCAGGTCACCCCGTACCACACATCTCCACCACCAGAGGATTTGTGTGAAGAAAGCTGTATAGGACGGTGCCCATCCCCAGGCTCAGTTTTTGTATGCCAGCCTGCCAGCCCCACAGACCTATGTGCAATGTACGTAGCCCCAAATAAGGAGCTGAGTTTGGACTGGATGCTGAGTGGTGTTGCAACTAGGCCACAGTTGACATAAGATGAGCTGAAGAGGCCGCTGTGGGTCATTCCAGGGAAGTTTTTTTCATACCTACTGTGAAAAACATGGATTCAGTAGTATTCAAGGGTTTTTTTTGTATATATCAGTGATTTAGGTACAAGATATGTGGGGTGATAGTGCCTCTCTTCAGGGTTCAAATTACGCTCTGACTCTTGGGAGCAGTCTGCAGTGGCAGCAGCCAGAAGCCAAAAGGAGCCACTGCTACCACCACTGCCTGAGACACAGGGTGGGCTGGGGCAGGGCTCTCGTTTCTTGGGGGGGGGCTCAGCTCCCCCTCCTCCCACAGCTCCACCATAATTCAAACACTGCCTCTCTTCCTGGCACTGGTTAGGCCTCATCTGGAGTACTGTGTGCAGTTCTGGGCTCCACATTTTAAAAATGATGCAGAGAAGTTAGAGGGTCCAGAAGCAGGCAACAAAGATAGTCAAGGGCTTGGACGGCAAATCATATGAGGAGAGGCTAAAGGAGTTAGGCATGTTCAGCTTATAGAAAGCGTGCTTCAGGGGGAACATGATAGCAGCCTTCAAATACTTGAAGGGCTCCTGTAAGTAAGAAGGAAAGCACCTTTTCTATCTTGCTGCAGAAAGGAGGATGCAGGGCAGTGGCTTGAAGTTGCAGCAAAGTAAGTTTAGATTGGATATCTGGAAAAACTTCTTCACTGTTAGAATAGTGAGGCAGTGGAATAAACTGTCTATGGGAGTTGTGGGCTCTCCATCACTGGAGGTGTTCAAGAAGAGGTTGGAGATGATCTCGGCCAGAAGCAAACCCTGGCACAGGTGCCATTTGGCACACAAAGGCATTTTACTTGGTGCACATACGTCAGGCAGACAGCAGGGAAGGGACCGGGCCTGTACTACCACAATAAGAATTGGGCCCCTCGCAGCTCCCCCACCATCCACCCCTGGCAGTCCAACATCTTACAAGTTGAAGTTATGGGTGGTTTTGGCACTCTGCCAAGAAATCTTGCCATCCCCTGATCTAGACATAGCTATGCCCAGGTTCTATCTCACGTATTTCCCAAATTTTTGGGCTTTGCTGGTTGCCCCCACCCCTCTATGCCCTTCTGCAACATTTGTCAGGGTTTTAAGCCTCCCCAGGGAATTGCGTGTTGGCTACACCCTAGGCTGGGGACTTTGATTGGGGTGTGCCAATGCTCCTACTAGGACCAAAGTCCAGAGGTTCCTGACTAGAGGGTTGTGCTCCGCCACTCAAGGTCAGACTGATTGCCATATTCGGGGTTAGGGAGGAATTTTACTCCATGATCAGATTGGGATGGACTGTGGAGGGTTTCACCTTCCTCTGTAGAGGGAGCATGGCCCTGTTAAGTCTACACTGACAACATTTTATAGAAGCAGGACACTGGCTGCCATGGTTCCCCTGCTTTAGCTGTTGCAGGTAGGGTGTTAGGGTCTATGTTGTCTCAGGGTGAAGGGTAGTCTTATGCAGAGTTTAGACTATGGTTTGTATAGGGATGATCCTGCCTCAGACAGGGGATTGGAGTAGATGACCTCTGGAGGTCTCTTCCAGCCTACTTCTCTATGACTTTTTAAATTTGAAGTTTTAAGCATGTGTGTTTAATTCCATTATAAGAACTAGCAGTCATAAAATGAAACTAGTCAAATGAAAACTATGAGAAGGCAACTCTTTTTCTCAAAGTGACAAACTCATTTCCCCACAGGAAACTGATAGTTTAGCCAGATTTAAACAGAGACTGGAGAAATCCTTGGAGGAAACATGTAGCTCTTGAGCACATCAGTTAGCAGCACCACCTCTGAATCAGATCTTAATTCTGAAAAGCTCCGAAAAGGAAAAAAATATACAGGCATACCTCGGAGATATTGCAGGTTCGGTTCTAGACCACCGCAATAAAGCGAATATCGCAATAAAGTGAGTCACACAAATTTTTTGGTTTCCCAGTGCATATAAAAGTTATGTTTACACTATACTGTAGTCTATTAAGTGTGCAATAGCATTATGTCTAAAAAAATAATGTACATACCTTAATTAAAAAATACTTTATTGCTAAAAAATGCTAACCATCATCTGAGCCTTCAGCGAGTCGTAATCTTTTTGCTGGTGGAGGGTCTTGCCTCGATGTTGATGGCTGCTGACTGATCAGGGTGGTGGTTGCTGAAGGGTGGGGTGGCTGTGGCAATTTCTTAAAATAAGACAACAATGAAGGTTGCCACAAACCTTCAATTTGTAAAAAACGCAATATCTGCGAAGCGCAATAAAGCGAAGCGCAATAAAACGAGGTATGCCTGTATACGTGTATATAACCGAACATAAGTTTGCTATTTCATACACAATAAAGGGTGCATCAGTTCTCCTCATTTCACCTGGAAAAAAGAAACATTTGTTCCCACATCGGCCATTTAGAGAAAATTAATTATTGTATAACTGAAACATGCTGGGATTGTCATATAGTTTTCCCTCTGCGGTACCACTACCTCTGGTAGTTTACCACTTGGTGATACCACTGCTGAACCAAATATGAGTATTTAAAATTTTGCCAGAAAATATTTAATCCATAAAACCCCCAAATCCTATTTGTTTTAGGCAAGTTCATGAAATATTGCTTTGCTAAATAAACTCAATATGAACCCTATGCTTTTCCATAAACAAACAGCAAACAAGCACATTCAATCAGAATTATTTTAGCTTTTTATTGAAAAACAGCAAAACAAAAAAGAATAAAGGCAGATTCAGGGGAGAGCACAGAGAGTGACATAAGAGCTTGCGCTGTGCTCAGAAACAAAAGGGCTGCTGATCTCTACAGTTAGGTAGACTGTCAAAAACACTCATACATACAGTGCACAGAAAACAAAGCCAGCATAACTATATAGGCCTGTAAAACCTGCATACCAGAAACATAAGGATAGATGTTAACAGTGGCTCTCATGACAGCCATAAATTCCATTATTCTTCCTGGTTATATAAATCATTGTGAAATCTTGTAGTTTTTGTGGGAGGGACACATTAGTGATTGAGTAAGCTGTTAAAATATTCTGTCTAAATGATATGTACTTTATTAAAAAGGAACTCATTAGGATTAAATCAGAGCCTATAGGAAAGCAAGCAAATGATTCATTTCAGTACACCATGAAAGTTGGTCTGGTAATTTGCAACCAGTAACACCAAAACACCAATTAATGGGCAGACAAAGTTTAAACTACTGCGAAATCAGTGGACAAATCCAAAAAAGATGTAGGTCCTTAAACAGGACTTAAGTAGGATTTAGGATTCTCCAAACCAACTTTATTTAAAAAAAAAAAAAAGTACCTCCGTATTTGGGCTGAAAGTTCCCTACATGCCTGCTACCCAAAAGTGTCCTGGTTTGAGCAGCTTGTAACCAAACTCCTGACTAAGCCTCATGGCAATCTAGAAATGAGAGTGGCACCTAAATCCCTTGAAGTACCTAATCCAATGGTTCTCAACCTTTTTGGACTGGAGGCACCCTCAATAGATTCAAGGCATCCATAACTGTTGTGAATTGAGTGGCACCCAATTTCAAAAACAAAGTTATATATTACGGAACACACATCCTTGCAGAGGGGCTGGGCTTTGGAGTCAAGATATTGTTCAGGCATGCAAAAGCCTGAACCTGCATTTCTCTACTTAACATGGCTGCTTATCTCCTCACACTTCAGGGCACCTTCAAAGAATCTGTCAGTGAGAATCACAAAGGACTTTTATTTAGCACAAGACATGCTTCCTTCTTTCAGAAGGAAGGTGGTAGGGATGTGTTATATAGTAGCCTTATGGTTACAACTCTCATGCAGCTGGAAACAGGACAGTCTGGAGTTCTCAGGATTATTCCTGTTTTTCATCCAATAACTGTTTACTCAGAAGAAAACAGTCAAGGAAGCAGAAACTAGAAACTAAGAACTGCCCTCTTCCGGGTCAGTGCCCTAACCATGAAGTCATTCAACCATGTTTCTTTCTGCTCGCTCTTTAACTGTGCTCATGAATCTTCCTCTCTCTGCATGTAATTTGAAGGAGCTTAAGTCCCTTACTGAATCTGACCCCTAGGATCTGTTTATGTTGACAAATAGAGTATGTAGATGACTGAGGACCCAAGTCTGTGAAGAATTTGGCCCAAACAATTCCCTCCCATTGAAATGGGTGTTGACCCAAAGGTCCATTTTCTGTGCCTTAAAAAATAGAGGTATAAAAATCAAGAGCTTAGTTCAGACTCCAATATACATTTTCAATCTGTTTTTATACCCGTTATTCACATCATAGGGTGGTGATTTGTAGGAGAAATCAGGAGTGTAGAATCCAAATGCCCAGATCACAAGTGGATGTACCTGTCTTCCCACAAGAAGCAATTTGCAGAGTTGAAGCCCTAAATTGTGAGTATGAAAAAAGTTAAAACCCAAGAGCTGGTCTTTTCATCTTCAATTTAGGAAAGAGTAGATCATTCTATTGTACAACATGCTTAATTATTGTTTTCGTATCAAAGAACTGTCCACAAACAGTACACAGTGCTTCTGCAATATCAGTTTAAACACAGTATTTGAATGCAATATGAATTTAAAATCCTGGTACAATCTATACTCTGTGATTTACAGTCCTGTGTCACCAATTCACTGTGGCTATAAATTGCTTGCAAAATTTATGGCAGAGAGGCAATAGAACAACAATTCTCAACCAGGATGCCACGCTACCCTGGGGTATCAGGAGATCCTTCTAAAGGTGTTGTGGAGTAGAGCACAATATTAACATTTTTAGGTGTGCAAACACATGATTCACAAGATAAACCCAGAGATTTCAAACAGGAATCCATAGTGTCAAAAGCATTTGGACCTGTTGTGGTCTTTTCTGCATTCTTTGCAACAGAAGACTGTCTCTATTACTTTACTGTAGTCAAAGAACGAGTGAAAGCTAAAAGCTGGTGTTTTCCCAGGGGTGCCTTAAGTCTACAAGATTGAGAACCACTGCTGTAGGTTCATAAGTAAAACAACTGATTCCAATAAAAAGGAAAAATTATTTAGTTAATGATACGAACAAAGTCCAGAATGCTGTCCAAAGTGTAGTGATGTGTGAAAAAACAAAGAGGTCAGTATTGGCTATAAAGTCAAGACCTTTCATATAGTTCATTCCATTTGGGGTCTTTGAAATAATCAACAAATGAAGAATTCTACTCCGGCAAAAACTGAATCAACTCTGCTCGCAGATCAAACACTTCTCAATACAGATCCATGGGAAAGCCAGCAAACTTCAGAATGTATAAGGAGGCTGTGGTATTCAGCACCCATTTCATTACACAAAGCAGCAAAAACGCATGAGTTCAGAGGTCTAGCTTTAATGAAATTCATGATTTTTACAACACAGTAAAACATCATTCAGGTCAGGGCCCAGTTTTTTCAATGTTAGTGCTTCTCTGTGCAAGATACAGTGAGTTGAAACAACATTTGGTGCTACCTGTTGTATTCTCACTATCAGACCACTTCTACTGCCAGTTACAGCCCTTGCAACATCTGTGCAAATACTGACACAGCTGTCCCATGAAAGGCCATTTGTACTTATGTACTGATTAAGGACTTAAAAAAATATCCTCTCCTGTTGTTCGTGTTGGCAGTTCAAGACAACTAAAAAAGGTTTCAACCAACTTCCTTTTCCAAATATAGCAAACAAATAGTAACAGCTCAGTCTGATTTCCTATGTCTGTAGATTCATCAACCTGAAGAGCATATGCAGAAACTGTTTTCAATCTCTCAAGCAGCTGTGTCTCCATGTCCTCTGCCATTTCTCAAATTCTTCAAGAAACAGTACTGTCCGAAACAGGTATCTTTTTAACTTTAACCGCTTGCTTGTTGCCTAACAGTACTTTACAAATATTCCCGTCAGCAGGTATAATCAAAGATTCTCCAATCGTATGTACTTTATTGCATTTTGCAATTCTGAGTGATATCAGATATATATGAGGCCTTCAGCGCACTTTCACTGTCTTTAATGCTATGAGTAAACACTTCCTTCTAACATTTGAAACTTTCAAGCTGCCGTTCAAAAGATTCAATCCATTTTCCAACCAAGCTGGCATGCTTTGTTTCCAAGTGTCTTTTTAATAAAGATGGCTTCATATACTCATTGCAGAGTTCTTCCAAACAAATGACAGTTTGGTTTGGATTTATCTTTGGGACTCACGTATGTAAAACTGAACTCCAAATAGACATTGCTGAATAAATAAAGTTAATAATTTTAAAACAGTAATTTTTTTCATTCATTCTGCATACCCTCTATGACCTTTTTAAGTGCCCCCTAGGGATAAGCGTACACCCAGTTGACAACCACAGATGTAGTTCAAAGAATGTCCTGTATACTAATCTGAAAGATTTGAGAAGAGAGACACCTTATATTCAGACGCTATAAAACCATGAGACACTGCTGTTTATTTACCTTCACAGCAGTTCAGGAAAGGACATGGAACTTAAAAACACCACCTGTTTTTCTCCCCCTTTTATCAGTAACATTTGCAAAACCCTATGTTTCTATCGCATGGGATTTCATTTGGAGGTCCCTGGGATCTTCCATAGGAAAGATGAGAGAATGGAGTTTCTGTAACTGACTCCTACAGCTGAGCCTCCCGCCTGCAAGATAGAGCCCATCTCTCCCTTCTCAAAATTAGAGAAAATTCAGAAATGTGTATGCAGGTCAGGACAGAGAATCCCAAAAAACAAAACCATGTGATCCCTTGAACTCTAAAATTAATTCTGGACCATCAATATGAATGAATCTTTGGGCCTTTCCAGTATATTTCCTTATACCTCATAATGAATAATATCATGATCTCTGG